GGGGAGGTCTGCCGTCACACAGCTAGGTCATCTGGTTGTTGTTAGAAAACATTTGCTTGTATTTTTGTAGTTTGTGTGTGGATTGTGTGGACTATAAAGATTTTACTTTTGAACAGAAATTAATTTTTTTTAAATACTTTAATGTCTCCATTTGGTGGAGGTTTTCTTTCAGTTCTGTTGAATACAACGCTCTTTATGTGGATTTGTTGTTGTTTGTTCTTTTTTTAAATTTTGGTTTGAGTTCTGTGAGCAGCTGAGTGCACCGGTATGTCGGTTGGCAGTGACCGGAAATAGTAATAATAGATAGCATTAATTGTTTAGCGCAAATCCCCGCTCAACAGCAAGCTCTAAGCGCTTCAAAGTCTTTACTATTACCCCAGTAGACCTGAGAGAATTCTGAAGCAACCTCTTCTTTCTGGGAAGCATACAGTTCAAACAGCCATTTATAGGTGCTAAAACACTGACACACTGACAAAATCTGGATCAACTTTCCTTCCCCCCCCCCCCCCTCCCCCATATCGATGTTAAAATCTCCCAGCTATCTCGATTGAGGTTATTTATAATTAATTTTGTCCCGACAGGGTGCCATGTTAAAGCGTATTAATCGTTCTTGCTTGTGCTGAAAAATAAAGATGAAACGATAGCTGGTACTGATAGATAAGATGAGACGATAGGAACTAGATTCTAGATGTATGAGATATATTTTTACCGAGATAAGATGTAGCAAAAGGAAATAGAGGATGTGAGATAAAATGTAGTGATAGGAACTAGATGGCTGATAGATAAGATGGAACGATAGGAACTAGATGGCTGATAGATAACTGGCAAAGATAGCTGATACTGATAGATAGATGTAACAATAGGAACTAGATGGTACAGAGATAAGATGTAGGGGGAGGAACCACACATGTAGATGGTAGGACATAAGTTATAACGAAAGGAACTAGATGGCTGAGAGATAAGATGTAACAACAGGAACAGGGATAAAATATAGGGATAGGAGCTTAGATAGTAATTCGGCAAGGTGTAATGATAGGAACTAGATGGTGCTGAGATAAAATGGAATGTTAGGAACTAGATGGCTGAAAAATAAGATGCAGTGATAGGAACTAGATGGTACTGAGATAGATGCAGTGATAGGAACCAGATAGATGAGAGATAAGATGTAGCGATAGTAACTAGATGGATGAGAGATAAGATATAAGATACAGAGATAAGGTGTAGTGATAGGAACTAGATGGTACAGATATAAGATGGAACGATAGGAACTAGATTGTTGAGAGGTAAGATATAAGATACAGAGATACGATAGAGAGATAAGATACAGAGATAAGATACAGAGATAGCCCAGCTGACCTTCTATCGTGGCAGGTCTGGAGGATTTCTTCGGTGACGATCTGTCCTCCTCTGCCCACGCCATGCCTCAGAGGTTTGCTCACACCATCACGCGCTTCACCCGGCTCAGTGAACTCACCGTCAACTATGAGTACCTCACAGACGAACTGCTCTTGTGGTTCGCGCGGACTGACAGGTTGGGGGACGTTACATGATGATGTGGTGGTGGTGGTGGTGGTGTTGTTATTGTTGTTGTTGTGGTGGTGGTGGTGGTGGTGGTGGTGTTATTGTTGTTGTTATTGTTGTTGTGGTGGTGGTGGT